GGGAAGGGAAGAAAAAAAGAACCCCCCCCCCCCCCCCCCTTCTCTCACACTTACTTGGCAGCGTTGTCCCCGGTCCACACCGCTCCCCACCGCTGGCTTCCCGCGAAGAACGCCCTCGACAGCACGAACGGCCGCCCGTCCCCGCCCCCCCCTCCCCTGGCGTTCCCCCGCCGAGGGAGTTCCAGCCCCTCGGCGGTGGCCCTCTGCATGTACATGCCGTACGTGTTGTGCCAGTGCCGGTGCTCGATGCCCGCGAGGCTCAGGCAGTCCTTCTTCATGGAGACCTTTTTTAGCGGACACGGAGAGGGGTGGGGGGGGAGAGACGGACATGTACAAGGGACAAGCAACGTCAGTGGGGCGGAAAGAGACAGAAGAGAGGCGTAACCAACCTCCACACATCCTCTCCTTGTGTTACAAGGAACGGAGCGAGGTCATACACTTGGTTTCCGCTGCTGTAAATTGTACAACGCCAACAATCTGGTGGGAACAAAAAACTATTACTCTTTCGACGTTGTGACGCCGTTTCGTCAACAAAAAAAGAAGACATACATGCTTCGAAGTGCACAAAGACAAGCGACGGGGGGGCTCCCCAGAGCGGGTAGGGGGTACCCCTTCTCACTCTTGGTCCGACAGATATTACATACCCCCTTAACAAAAAATATAAAGCGAAGGGGGGAGGGGGGTACAACCCCTTCTCACTCTTGGTCCGACAGATATTACATACCCCCTTAACAAAAAATATAAAGCGAAGGGGGGAGGGGGGTACAACCCCTTCTCACTCTTGGTCCGATAGAGAATACATACCCCCTTAACAAAACATATAAAGCAAGGTGGGGGGAGGGGGGCGGTACCACCTTCTTACCTCTGGTCATACGGTAAAGGGCTCTCAGTAGTGCCGGTTGAACGGTGCCTATGCCCGATATAGTGCCTGTCAAACCTTGGGCACGCGTGTCCACTTGGCCACGAGGGTCCACTCCTGTCCTAAAACCTATGTGTCCCTGTTCTGAGTAGTGTCGGTCCCTCCGAATAGTGCCGTTGACCTGGTCTGGTCCCATACCGGCACTACTGAGGACCCTCTACCGTATAGAGAAGAACGCCTAAAACAAAAAAAAAAGCAATGGGGGCGGGGTTCTTCTTCTCACCTCCGGGCCGTTGAAGACGCTGGGCTCGTTCATGTCATTCCAGGTGTAAAGGTCGAGCGTGCTGCCCTCGTACTCCTCTAGGGCGAACCTGGAAGCCCACCACTCCCTGACGCCCTCGTCCGTGAAGTCGAGGTAGCTAGACTGCCCCGGCCAGCACCACCCGTCGAAATCCTTCAAAACCACAGCAACAACAGCGGCAGTGGCAGCAGCAGCAGGAGCAGCAGCAGTAGCAGTAGCAGTAGCAGTAGCAGCAGCAGCAGCAGCAGCAGCAACAGCAGCAGCAACAGCAGCAGCAATAACAGCAGAGTCAGCAGCACTATTATAACAGTAGCAACAGCAACAACAGCAACAACAGCCGCAGCAGCAGCAGCAGCAGCAGCAGCAGCAGTAGCAGAGGCAGCAGCAGCAACAGCAACAGCAACAGCAGTAGCAACAGCAGTAGCAACAACAACAACAGCAGAGAGGCACAAGCAGCAAATAGCAGCAGTGGCTCACGTTGCCGTCCTTGTCCTTGATGTAGAGGCCCTTGGCGGTGGCCTCCTTGTGCACGGCGTACTTTGCGTCTCTCTTGATGTGCGGGTCGACGATCGTCACCATCCGTCTACCGTGGGCCGCCACCTAGTATGGATACCAACGACGCGAATAAGAAAAGCAGCGGCGACGAGCACGACACTGACGTACAGCAAAAATAGGGCAAAATAATACAACAACAGCGACGACGACAACGACGACAGCAACACACAGTGAACAGAGAGCGAAGAACACAACATCAACGACAGTTAACACCGACACCAACAACACCAACAACAACACACAACAACAACACACACACCAACACCAACACAACAACAACAACAACAACAAAACACCCGATCCAAACCTTGTCGATCATCCTCTTGGGGTCCGGGAAGAGGCCCTTGTCCCAGGTGAAGTACCGCTTGCCGTCCGTGTGCTCGATGTCCAGCCAGATGACGTCGTACGGGAAGTCGCGCTCCTCGAAGCCGGAGTCGACCGCCAGCACATCCTGGAGGATTTGGACGGGGCGCAGGGGGGTGCGGGCGGGAGTTGCTGCTGTCGTCGCGTGTTGTGTGGTCGTCGTTATCGTCATATTTTTCTCACCAAAACAAAACGGATTAATCTATATCCGCAGGAAAGAGTCCCGTGAAAAAAAAGAAATACCTTGTTTCCTTTTTTCCCGGCATTTTTTTTTGTTGTACATTTTTTTTTTGCTCTATTGTCACATTTTTTGTGTTTTTTCGTCACATCGCATCGCTTCTTTTTCCGTCTGGTTTATAGGCGTCAGGGTTCGGCATGGTGCAGCGATGTCGCTGCGGCTGTCTCGGCACAGGTGACAAAGCACTCTCTCCCTCTCTCCCTCTCCCTCTCTCTCTGCACGTCTCAAGTGGTCCGGCCCATCTTCATGACTATTCCGGCCCATCGGGGTAGTCGGTCACACCAGCCGCGCTGGAGCACAAACAGCGAAAAGCCAACACCACCGACAGTCTTATCATCTTACACCCACCACGGTGCCCCCACCACGGTGGGCTCGACCCCCCCACCCGCTCGGTTTTTCCGTGCCTTATGAAGACACACACACGGCTGTTTCTTCATCTTCCATACCGTCCCGCGTGAGCCTCCCCCCCCCACGCCCCCCCCTCTTCTCTCCGCCAGTTTTTCCGCGCCTCATGAAAATCACAGACGCAGTGTTTCTTGATCTTCCATATCGAACCCCTGGTGGGCTCGACAACCCACGCCCCACGCCCACCGCCCGGTTCTCATGAAGGCGCACATGGATTTTTCTTGGTTTTCCGTACCGTAACCCGGGTGCGCTCGACACCCCCGGTCCTCATGAACACACAACACGGGTGTTTCTTGATGTTCCCAACCATACCGCACCTGCTCGTCGCGGTAGTTCCATCGGCACTGGTGGAAACCCAGGCTGAACATGGGGGGCAGCTCCGGCTTTCCCGTAACCTCGGCGTACTGCTTGAACACCGCCCC